TGTCGCCATGAAGTGACGTTTATATTGGCCTGCTAATAGAAAGCTACAGCCCAGGCGTATACGGGTCAGGTGGATAATGTTTATCCGACTTCCTATATTATACCAAACTGGTGGCCGAGAGGGAAAACTCAGGAGACTTTTCAACTTTATAGGAAAGCCATCGTTTCAGCCTTTCATCACTATTCCTTGCTAACTTGTAAAATTTCTTTTATCTGTTCACTACTATCTGTTATCATTTGTTTATGCTTTGCGGAATCACGTGAATGAGATGGTGTTGATCGAATAAATTGTTGACGTTGTTGTTTTGTTTCATGGTTAAACCATACCTCACCATCTTCAGGCCACATAATTTCTTCTCTTGTCAAGAACTCGGGGTTGTTCTTCAAATGATGTATTTGTTTTCTTTTTCAATGTTTTTTCCGTGTCAGGTTGCATTCGTTCCGTGTCATTTTCTATAAACCGCTGTGATTTATTTTGAAGATAACAGCCAAAACCACGCATGTGTTGAGCATGGAAATGGATCCAACATATACCTCAGTTTGATCATAATCTAATCTCATCAAACAACGTTGTGATTCATGACTAAATTGTATTTCTAACATTGTTGCTTGTAAAAAGTCGATTCCAGGAACATTTGTACATTCTGGATCATAAACCATCACTATTTGATGAATGTGAAATTGTCCACCCCAAACGCCTGTAAAGGAGTTAAGATTGTGTTGTTGTTTAGTGCTGTATCGGTTCCAAAGCCAAAGGAACTGCCATTCATCATCTGTATAACGTGCTTGTGTGTTGGACTGTTGTTTGAATTTTTGTTGATACTAACGTTGTCTCATTTTGATTTGTTTGGATTCTGTTATACCTACTGTGGTGTTGGATTGACAGTAACGCCGGCTAGCACCACTGTTATGTTCCCGGGTGAACTAAGATCTTTCTCACCTAACGTTTATTTACAGATAAGAAAGATTTTTCCTTAACAATAAAATTGATCTATTTATATAGGCAATACTGCGCGATAACCTTGACTAGGATATATGCAATAACCTTGAATGTATTCTTGCATCATAGCTCTTCGCAGAAGTAAATGAGTCCTTATATATTATCGTAGAAATATAAGTATACAGTTGCGAGATAAAACAAATAGACGAACTGTTTCCCAAACCGTTAGATGATGTTATGCGCATTATAATTATTTTGTATGCGGTAAATGTATATGACTATAAATCTCAAGGGGATCCCCGATTTAGATTTTTCTCTAACGTTCTCAGTTTGTAGAGGACACTTCGAAGGACATGTCTTGAAGTTTTTTCGGCTTGCTGACATTAAATTTCGGTTTGCTGAGAAGAAAATTAATTACTTAAAAGATATTGTTAAATTTTTGAGCAAGGGATTATTATTAAAAAAATTTCTGTCCATTCTCCATTAACCACAATAGCTCGGTTCTTGCCTAGATCGATAGAGAAATGTGTGGTGAATATTTATTACGAGAAAATATACAAGAATTTTTGTTCTTTCCTTCCTGGCATTGACTAATTAGTACTAATTAACGTTAATTTAGCCTACTCTATTAGCACAAAGTCTTATTTGTAAAATAGCAACGCAACGAAAAAATTTAAGCAACATCTCATCTGACAGAGAATTTCACAGGCTACAGCATGGACTACCTTAAAAGTTTTAGAATTCGTTTTTTGTCGGTGGTAAGTCTGGTAAGTTGAAAATTTAACAACATTGTTTAAGTATGTAATTTTTTTCTCAGCCAGATAATTTCAATAAGCCGAAAAAACTTTCGAACATACACTTCGAAGTGTCCTCTACAAACCGGGAAGGCTTGAAGAAAAAATTCAAAACTTGAAAATATTGCTGACTTTTGACTCACCGAAGATTTTTCTACCTAACCGTACGGCTAGTTTCGCCCGAACCAAGCAGTTTGGAGCAAAACTCTGAGTGCAAAAGTTGTTCAGAATCGAATTCTGTAGTCCCTGGCGGAAGCTTTTTAAAATTTTCTGTTTTTGACTTTTAAATTAAACTTTACGGTTTATAAAATTTTAAAATTTCGTATTTTTCAATTTAAAAATCAAAAACAGAAAATTTTGAGATAAGCTCTCGCTAGGGACTACAAAATTCGATTCTGAACAACTTTTGCACTCTAAGTTTTGCTTCAAAATGCTTGTTTCGAGCGAAACTAGCCGTAAGGTGAGGCGAAAAATACTTTTAGTTCTCAAGTTTCCTCGGGAAGGCGAACGTTAAATTTCTGCGGCAAACTTCATTCAGGAACGATGAAAAGGGTTTCTCCGTGTACAGACTAATGTTCTCTATCTAACTACTCTAGAATCAACTCTTCATATCAAAAAATGAATTTTTTATTGAAGTTTTAAAAATTCAAAATGTTTTTTATCAAAAACTATAAATCCGGGAACCGAAAGCTTTGTTGGGACATATACTCCGAAGTATCCTCCACAAACTGGTGAAATAAAATGGATGGGTGACCCCCTTAATCAAAGACCAAACTCTATGATAAAAAAGCTGGTGACTTTGATAGAGCACCACACATGCCACACAAGTTTCGGCCATTATATATAGATTAAGAAAGAGTGTTGACTCAACAAACTGAGTCAACATTCTTTATGGTCACGAGAAATTAAAGCAAAAGCAGAAAGAGGAAGGAATGTCAGTGATGACTGACATAACAGGGTTCTTACTAGGACTTTATATAGTATCTATAGGCAACAGATTATTGAAATCGGAGTTGGACATATGAGAAGGTTCCCTCGTAAGTCTTTATCTCAAGGGTTAGGTAGTCATCACTCCCTTTCCAAAATATGACCTTAAAAATGAAAGAATATGGTCAAAATTAGAAAATACCTGGCCATTATTATGCGATTTTTGATGCCAAAACAAGCTGGTATAAGCATAAGATATTCATAATCAGCGCAAAAAGATTTAATCCGATAATATGCCTTTTAACGTGCAGCCAAGAAATACGCTGCATTTGAGTATATGTGCTGGTAATGTACGAAGTTGGATGTTTGAGGAAAAGAAAATATCCTGCCATACAGTCTAGAACATTCTAAAATATTTCAGTTGAACGTGCAACTGAAAAATCATAAGAATGAGTGATATGCAGACTAACTGGTTCATCTTTTATTATACTTGATTGAACTGCTCTAGAAATGTGTCTCGAAAGAATGTCATGAAAAAGTACAAACTTTTTCCCGTATTAAGTAACACAGTTTTACAATATTTAAACTTATAGGCAATGGTAGCACAGCTGTACTTCATCAACCATCTGGTCTCTATGTTGTTAGTAGTTCAGGAAATATCTACGTAGCTGATAGTGCTAATCAACGTGTGTTACGATGGTTACCGGGTGGAGACCCCGCTACCGGTGGTGGACTAGTGGCTTCTAATACTCTGGGTAGTCCATATGGTATTGTAGTTGAACAAACACTGTATGTAGCTGATATAAGTAAGCTAGACATAAAATAAATAATGTACTAAACTTTTAATCTAATCATATTTCAACTTTTTATTGTTTTTATAGCTAACAATTGCGTTAGAAGTTTACCGTCGGTATTGACATTGCTACTATATTCGCTGGAAATGGAACAGTAGGTTCTGGCCCTAATGAACTAAATAGTCCAGTAGGTTTAGCTTTGGATTCAGCTGAACAATATTTATACGTAGTCGATCAGAGCAATACTAGATTCAAAGATTTTATATTCCAAGCTGTTAAAGAGTTATTCTAATTAAATTTACTACAGTGGCAGTAGTCACTGGGAAGCAAACACTAAACCTTATTTTCTAATTTTATCCTACAAATAATCTTTTGTTTTGTTGAATATTAAAGATCTCTACTACACGCCTAAAAATGTGGTGCGTAAAATAATAAGCAAATGTTGGCTTAACCGCTGCCTGAAGCAAAGTAAATGTTTCGAAAATTTCATTATATTTTAACCCTTTCACTGGCGCGACTACCTTTTGACGCCAAGCAATTGGCATCATAGTTAATTCATGTAACAATCTGGAAAATTTTTCTTAAGATTACCTGCCATTATAGGGCATGATATGGCGTCCGGATATTCAAATACCAGGCCTCATACTGGCATGGCAATCTTAGAGGAAAATTTTCCAAATGAATACATGAATTAACTATGATGCCAATTACTTTTAAATTACACTTTTTGATCACATTTGAAAATTAGGTGCAAGCTGCACGCCGGACCAAACTTAATGAAATTAAGGTTGTATATACAGAATTCCAAGGCAAATTCGACAGCGGGCTTCTTAACAAATCCGATTATTTTCAAGTGGGTTTGATGATTTCGTCCCATGCCTAACTGGAATGTAATCAAGCAATATTTCTGAAGTGGTCCGAGAAGCTGGTTGGTGTTTCTTCTAGAAAAAACTATTGCAAATAAATATAGTTAATATCAGGTAAAAAAAGATTCCATTTAATGAAAATTCTAATTAAAAAGGACGAAAAATCGTCCGTCGTACAGTAAGTTTCCACAGAGACATCATCAGCTTTCCAGACCTTCGTTGAAAAAGTTATGAAATTTTTAATTTTTTTCTTTACACAATAAAAACGTTCAGTTTTTTAATTTTGTAAATTTTAACCTGGTGTACAGAATGGCGTAAATTTTTTCCGTTTGCCCTTCTGACTACTGTAAGTTATGCATCATTCTAAAACATAAGAACTAAAAACTTCTGCGCTACCTAGAAAGAAAATCCAAACACAATTCAGCTTTCTACAAAATTGGGCGTCTCTCGATCTAGACGATTGTGTCGACCACGAGCTATTGTCCGACGGAGATATGCTGGATATTATTGGTCTATAGGTCTAAATTTTGCTTAGATTCCTAGATGTGACACAAAACCTAACTCAGTTTTTATCGCTGAACATGAATCTGCTATCAATTTTAGTAAAAGAATCAATTCCAACCAAAAAATATAGTTCTTTTAGAAACATGTCACTTTTTCTATATCATACCATCACATTCGGAGGTCTGTGTCGATCTGTTAATAAATGTCATATACACCATTCGACGCGGAATTAACTAATGTAACGTATATAAAGACCAAAAATAATTCGTGGAGTGCCTTAACTAGCATGTCAAAAGATCCAAAATACTCGAAAAGCACCATTTTCAGGATATCTCATTTTTCGATTATTTTATGCCTAGCGAGGCTATTATAATTTTTTTAAATGGGTTCAAAATAACATTGTTTGTAGCGTGTTGTCGCCTCTACCGAATGATATGTGAGCCAACTCTATCGGACTTATAGTGGCAAAAAGATTGATTAAATACTAAAATTGTCTGAAAATGTATATTTATCCGTAGAGTTCAAAGTTGTTGGATCTGGATGTTCTGAGGGAAACATTTCTAAAACGAGATATTTCGACTTTCTCACTCCCTTAACATGCTCTATCGGTCTAGCATACAAAGAAAAAAAATAAAGTGGTCAGGTACTAAGTATGGTCGATCTTTTGATGAAGGCTCTCTTAAAGTATTTGTTATCAAATTCAACATGTATAAGCAAAAGCGGAATTGTAATAAAAAGTTTAGAAAAAAGTTAGAAACTAAATTATTACAAAACATAGCTGCTCTTTTGTCCAGTTTCATCAACATTAGAAAATCGATTGTGTTTTTCATCCTCAAAAAAGCAAACTATTCGAAGAGATATTTGAAGTTCGCATCGAAAAGTCTTAGCTATAGTTAAGTAATTCACCCGCTTTTTCTAACTGAAGTGTCTTCCGTTTTTAGAGCATCGCAGAACAAAATGTTTGCTTTTCTTTTTTGTACACCACACTAAAAATTTACGCCATGTATGTACGCCATTCTGTACACCAGGTTAAAAATTTACGAAAGTGCGTCAACAACGCTCTTCAGAACCACAGCTTCGCAACGAAAACGACAGCAGCTCTTTTGAAGGACTCTCAGACACGGACGTCGACGTTGGAACCGCGGAACTTCAAGGACAAAATCACAAGCAACGACATGTCTGAACTCTTTGAACTTTGCAAAGCCAAGTGTCCAGTGAGGTATCTTAGGATCTTAGTCTACACTACTCTATGAAGGTTCGGCGTGAACTGGAAGAACTGCGACGCTTTCTTGCTGATAAGTTATTTAGATTATTACATGAGGCACTCATTGATAAAATCATACAAAATCAGTCTCCTTCCTACCTGAGAAGTCTAATTACGTTAAAAAGAGACACAAATACTGGATAGACGCGTCACTATGTACCAATAGATATAGTTCCTCCAACATCCAACACATTTTTTTTGTAGATAGGCCAGTACTGGTGAACATTATACATGACTGGAACAAACTGCCCTACGAGATGCGATCTATCACAGATACTGAGAACTTTTCTATAAAGTTGAAAGGTCTCCTAACTTTTCCCTCTCGGCCACCAGTTTGGTATAATATAGGAAGTCGGATAAACATTATCCACCTGACCCGTATACGCCTGGGCTGTAGCTTTCTATTAGCAGGCCAATATAAACGTCACTTCATGGCGACA